TGGCTTATTCAGTACCAGGTCATGCCGAACACAAGAGTCACATTCCATACTTGGAATGAATTTTGTTAATAAAACGTATAATGTGACGTGCGAAATATTAAATGAGTTTGGGAAACGGTGCTGTTGAAAGCAAACGGACGTTGTGACTGCTGACTTGGTTCAATCCTCGCTTTCCTGCCTCGGCAGCTGTGATGGATGATGATCCTGAGCTTGTGGTGCACTGCAGCGAATGGCCAGTCAGCTAGCTATTTGCCGCTATCTCCATCGGCCTTTTGTGCGGTACGGGCCTGCAGCAGCAGCAACAGCACCGTACTGTTTTACATCGCTCCAGATCCCAAAACTCTTTCCCTTCTTTCATCTCACATTTTTGAAACAGTAACATATTTTCCCAAGACCCAGCAAAGGCACGTAGCTGAATATTGCAGCCAGGAAAAGGCACAAGCATATCTCTGCAGATATAAGAAGGATTATTAACACAGATTTCTTCCCCCGTACAGTGCGTGGAATGTCCTTTACTTTTTTGTGGGCTCGAATAGTTTACAATACCAGGGAATCCATATTCTTTCTGCACTTACTGCTGGTGTTAAAAGTAGGAGATTTCAAGGCATTTACACAGTATATTTATTCCTATCAGATTCACAGGGTTTACGTGATCATGAGCAAACCCAAAAGCTGCGACAGTGAGTTGACATAGTTTGAATTCCCAGTATTTATGCTGTCCAGTGGCTTGTTACTAGTTCCCAACAGAGTAAGTTGATCAATTTCGAATTCAGATTTGAATATGCTTCATTCGCTGTAGGTCGGTGCTTTCAAAAAGATGAATTTGTAAATGGATACTTTTTTTTTTTTGATAATTTGATTATAGGTTTCCCAGGCGAGTCACAGTGCTCAGGAGGAAGATGATCGAAATCAAAGTAGTTGTTCCGGTTGGGGCAGTCAAGAAAGCATCCGTACAGGTAGCGTCGGTGATGATGAAAAATCGTTTGCTGTGTGCTCGTCACGATCGGTTGGTCTCGTCTTGTTGCATTTATCTTCAAGCCCAGCAAATGTCTCTGTAAACAACGTTCGCTCCGTTCCTAATTATGTAAGCTAAGGCGTTAAGCACCCGCTCGCATCAGAGTTTAAATGTCACTGAAGCGTGCTGTAAATAGCTCGTTCATCATTTTATCGTAAAAAAAGATAAGAGGACAGTGTGTGTATTGATTGGTAAAACAGAAATGTTACATGGTTCAACATTCGTATATGTCTAAATACGAATACATATATATGTGTATATTGAAAATTGTTATATACATATGTTCAAATTTTGTTATATATAAAATACACATATAAATATGTTTGTTGATTTCAATATTGCTCGAACAGTAGTCGTGATATTCTTTGTTTATATCTTTAGGGAAGCTATCGAAATTTTAAAAGACCCGAAAGTAGGCCTGGTCTGTAAAAATCTTCGACAACAAAATGAGTTTCATTTCGGCTTAATGAAAATCCTGAATTTAGTAGTTAGTTTTGATAGTTACTTCTTTACCACTAGCATAACTCAGATTATCAGCGTAAAAGTAGTCAGTATTGCCGAGATAAAATGATGCGCGGTCGTGCATTTGTACAGCCCTTGTTTTCGTGTTTTGCCTCCAGCTGAGAATCAGCGCCGAACGGAAGCTTCTATTCTTTCAGTTGCGAGAGTGTTTTGCATGTTGATAAGGAAGCTCCAGTATCTTAACACGGTTCATCTTCTTAAGGAGTGGTGCATGTCTATTCTGCGCAGATTAGCATAATACTTTTTATTTTTTGAGAGCAAATTATTCCTTTTCGTTTGATTTAAGTTGTGAAAAAAGACCGTCCCAAGCTTGAGAAAGTGCGCTAATCAAATCATTAACTAAGATGGTGAAGTGGCGAAAATGCTGAGGCGCAATTAGACACATTTGCCTGAAATAAGAATTTCCTGTTTATATTTTTTTTTTGGTATTTTCTATTTTTTCCGCAATTGCCAGAGTTTATCAGTAATACGGAAGAAATAGCTTTTAAATAATACCGAAAATTTTTAAGTCCTTATCGGCTTATCATCTGTTCCCTTTAATGATTTTGGACAATTTATTTGTCAATATTTCTGAAATTAAGAAATTCGGACACCAACTATTTGTGATCACGAATAAGTATCGTGAGTATCGTGGATGCCAGGTTTTCCTGAATCGCTGTGGGGTCGTATTTTACTGAACTTGGCTGAAATACTTTCCCACTCAGCAAATAGCCTAACTTTCTGCCCTAAGCTGCACTGGCTCTAACAATATTCAAGAAATTTCTGTTACGTTTTGCTCCATTAGTTGTTGAAGGTAGATGCGTTGGTTTGTTCAGAAAGCAGGTAACTTCTAGCAATATAACTTTGTCGATTTTAAATTACTAACTTTTCAGAGTCGTGCTGGTGGCCTTTAGTTTGTACATGAGTACATGTCAGGATATAATGAAGTGCAAAAGCTGATTTCGTGCCTTTCACTTTATACAGTGCGGTAAAACGAACTGAAAAATTTCGACTTT